CTGCCTTTCTCTTTCTCCTGTTCAGACTTGATGCTGGAATTTAACTCATTTTATACTTAACTTCCAGGAAGCGAAATCTGGAGTTACTCTTGCTTTTCGCTACTGCCTATGAGTCTTTCCCCTCAAGAGAGTAAAAAACCTTTGAACAGAAAATGAAACAGGGTTTCTGGTGGCTACACAGTTTAATCTTTTTAGTGCCATGTCACATAGGAAATTCAGCCACCTATTGTTTTTTTCTTGCCTAAATAAGAAAGAAGTTTGGAAAACAAAACTCAGGAAAGCAAGGAACTGTGATAATTATTTTTTTCCATTATTGGAGACTCCAGGACTGCAGATACTAGTTTTGATTGTTTTTATAAAGGTCATATCATAGAATCATAGAATAGTAGTGTTGGAAGGGGCCATGAGAGCCATCAGGTCCAACCCACCCCGATATCTAGTCACAGCAGAAGGAAGGTGGTCATAGGTGGGATTTTTATTTATGGGATTTATTTGTTTAAAATATTTGTATGCCACCTATTGTGCCACAACACCTCTAGGAAGTTCACAATCATTAGATAAAAACCACGATAAAAAAACAAATTACAACAATTGAAAATACAACACTAATAAAATACAGATAAAATACAAAACCAAGTTGAATGGCATTAATTATTAAAATATTTTTTAAAAGGGAAGGTCTTTGCCTGGTGCCGAAAAGAGTATAAGGAAGGCGCCAGGTGAATCTCCTTGGGGAGAGCTTCCAGATATGGGGAGCAGCTGCAGAAGGGGCCCTCCTCCTAGCAGCTATCCCTCTCACTTCCCTAGGGGATAGCTCACACAGAAGGGCCCCCTGCACAGATCTCAAAAGGTGGGTAGGGATATATGGGTGTAGGTGCTCCTTGAGGTAACCAAGGCCTAAGCTGTTTAGGGCTTTATATGTCAACACAAGCACCCTAAATTGGGCCTGGGCCACAACTGGTAACCAATGCAGTTCTTTCAATGTAGGTGTTATGTGGGCCTCTCTAGGGGATCCCGTCAATAACTGACCGGCCGTTTGGTGCCAATTGTAACTACTGGACCATTGCCAAGGGCAGCCCCACATAGAGCGTGTTGCAGTAATCTATTCTGGATGTTATCAGTGCGTGGGTGACTGTTTTCAGGTTCTGTCTGACCAGGCAGGGATGAAGCTGGTATATCCGCCACAGCTGGAGGAAAGAACCCCTGGACACCGAGTTCATCTGATATTCTAGGGACAAACCAGGTCCAGGAGTACTGCCAGACTACGGACCCTGTCCCTTAGGGGGGAGTGCAACCCCGTCAAGGAAAGGGAAAGGCCCATCCAGCCTGTCAGATGACCCCGCCCCCCACTACTAGTAGCACCTCCATCTTGTCAGGATTGAGCCTCATCCAGTCCATTATCGAGCCCAGTTCAGGATGGCAACAGCCTCACCTGCATGAGATGTAAAAGAGAGGTAGAGCTGAATATCATCAGCATATTGCTGAATTCTCAGCCCAAACCTCCAGATGACTTCTCCCAGTCGCTTTATATAGATGTTAAAGAGCACGTGAGCAGCAAGCTCTGTGGCACTCCATGTTGGAACATTTTTATGTAATTTAAAAATGCTGGACAGATTTGATGAAAAATTTGGGCCTCCCCTCTACAATTTGTGCAAATTTGTACAAATTGTGGAGTGGAGACCCAAAACTGACACAAATCCTTTTTGCAGAACTGTCAGAAAATTCAAGAGAGCCATGACTGAGTGTATGCAGTGAGAGAAGAATGCTTCCATACTTCTTATTTAAAAACTGCTAGAAGAACAATAATAACTGGAATGAAAAGAATCAGTTCCAATTTCCACAATTTGTACAAGAGATCCGGCTTCAAATTAATGTAAACATTTGAAGCGATTTTTTGAAAGCTGAAAACAAAACCATGACTCAGCCTACTTTTGCCCATGACATCAGAAATTTGTCAAAAGTCTTTGAGTGCAAACTGAGTTTTTCAGTGTTGCATACATATCTCTAACCAAATCCAATAGTATCTTACTATTAATGCTAGCATTGATTTGTAATTTTAAATTTTACAGATTTGAAAAAAATAACCATTTAACAATTTCCCATTTCCAACTACTCCTCTGTTTAGGAATCTACCATCCCAATTTCTTATTCCTTAAATCACATTCATTGGACATAATGTAAATTATTTTTTTAAATGAGGTTGGTGAGAGATTAGGAAGAATAATAATGTGATGACAGAAGTCCCCTTTTTTAGGAGCTGGTTTTCACACTTCTCTAGAATTGGTATCATTTAAAAATAACTTATCAGGTGAACTGCATATGTTATAAATATATGTTACTGCACCTCCTCCCTAAAGCCATATCTAACTTTCCAACCACTATTCAATTTTTGGGGGTACTCATATTTTTCCCGTGTTGGAGGATTATTTTCTTAACCACTAAAGCTACACTGGCAATCCATTCATTGCATTTCTTTCAGAGTGCCCAGATGGCTGATACATATCCAAATGTTAAATGATTAAAGGTAAAAGTTAGATCCTGTGGATAAGGTAATGTTTATGCAGTCTCCCACTTCTTTGCAGACTGGTGAGATGACAGGGCAATGCCAGAACATATGGATTAAATTAGCTTGTGGCTTGTCATACTTCCAGCAGAGATAATTTGTAGCCAGCCTCAGCTTTAAAAATTTACTCAGAGACCAATGAAGCCTCAGGAAAACTTTATGCTGAATTGTCTTAAGGTGCATATCAAGGCAGACAATTTAACTAATGTTAGGGTAAGAGAAACCTCTATTGCTCTTTTCAGGGGTTTTAATCTTTGTTCATTCAATTTTACAATTAAGACTCTACTGGTTCGTTCATCCACACACACACACACACACACACACACACACACACACTGTATATATATATGAGAAAACTGGGCCTGATGATGACCTTCTATAAACTATAGATGCTGGGCAGAATGACAACTGTGTCTTTATTTATCAAAAGCTTCAGGTACAGAACACATCTTATTCATTTACTTAAAATAAAGTTATGTTTATAACAGTGCATGCTAAAAACAATTGCCAGGAGAGGAAGAGTCAAGAAATACATCAAGTTAAAATAAAGGGAAAATAAGAAATGGTGTTTGCCTGGCATAAAAAAAAAAATACATACGTGCTAACCAAGCCTACCTGGAGATAGGTTCCACAAGCAAAGCATCAGAGCCAACTTCCTGTCTCAGTTGCAGGGGCATTAAAGAAGGGTCTCTGTGGAGGACATTGGTGTATGGACAGGCTGAGAAGGTGGAATACATCCAGGTCCTGAGCCATGTAGGGCTTTACAGGCAAGCCCTGTCATTATGAATTCTCAGAAGCAGGCTGCACGCCATCAGAGCTCTTGAAACATTGGCAAGCCGTGTTCCGAGTGCCTGGCCTCAGTGCCTAGTAGCCCAGTGGCTCTGTTTTGAAGTAGCTGCAGCTTCAAGCAGTTTTCAAAGGCAGACCAATGTACTGTGCATTGTAACTCTGATGTTTCTGGGACATAGACAATGGTAGTTTGGCTTTGGTAGTCCAGGAAGGTTTGAAGCGTTATCTGGAAAAAGCACTCTGTGTCACTGAGCCCACCTGGGTTTGTAGCGACTGAGTTGTATCAAATAAAATCAAACTCAGATCAACAGCTATGCCAATAAACAATTCCTGACCATCAGTGCGGAGGTCAATGTTGCAGTGCACAGAAGTTCCTAGTGGTAACTTGCATGTACAACCTGTACTGTCACAATGAACCTGTGTGCTTTCCTTCTGCGTGTGCTTTCTTGCTTTGTTACACATTTGATGACATGTAATACCCTACATACAGTAGTAGATAATCCTGGGAACTGAGCAGCACTAATTTTGAAGAGTGCAGTACATACAAGGAGCATCAGGATCTCCAACAGAACTTTATCTAGAGTAATCTGTTTAGCACCCTCCCCCCCAGGAACAAGGGGAAAAACCCAAATGCACAAGCACTGTATAGGTATTTTAGGAATATCATATTGAACATGTTATGACATTCCTGCCTTTATCACAACACTGACAGTTTCATAGGACTTGCTCAGAATGATTTTCTTCATCTTGGAAGCACTGGTGAATGCTCTCTAGAGTGGTCTTCTGCTGGTGCCTTCCAGATGTTTTGGACGACACCTTCCAGCGCTCCTGACTTTTGCCATGGAGGCTGGTAAGGGATGAAGTCCATTTGGGGAAGGCAGCTTTAAAGAGCAGTACTCAAGTCTGTGGAAATGGGTCAATTATACTAGAAGAGTCTGGACTACTCACTGTGTTTTTCATATTTTATCAGTCATTTTTCATACCAGATAACAATACCACTTTAGTATGGTTAAATTTTGAACAGCAGCAATGTTCTTTTGGAGCATGAAGAAAAGTAATCTGCATGTAGTGAAACAGAAATACAGAGGGGAGCTACTATTCACTATCAGTATGAAACTAAAGTTAAACTGTCTCCCAACAGCCCAGGTCAAATTATACATGGATTGACAGAACTTATGGAGAAAACTCTCCAGACAAAATTTTCAAGAGAACAGCAGGAAGGTGCTTGCTCCATCCTCAAGAAATGTCCACAGGCTGTATCTCAAGAAAAGTGGGGTAGCACCAGACACTGGAGCTGAATGCTAGAAAGTTCCTTAAGTATAATCAGTGGAGGCACAGAACTGGTATGTTTATGTTAAGACATAAAGAGGAAAATAGCATCAATGCATTAGCACTTTATAAAGTTATAGAATACCTGATCATTCCATCATTAAGCCTCCACAAATTCATTCTCACTTTATTTCAGGAATGGAACAAGCTCTACAGAAAAGGAAATGATAAAGGAAAACAAAGAAGGACTAATGGTTTTCACTGGTATTATCAGTTCTCATTCAAATTCCACTTTATTTCTTGTTAAGTTTTCCCTCTGATGTATCCTGCACCCTGCAATGCAATGAGGATACAATCCAATTCACCGTCTCTGATCTGAGAAGTTTAAAACATGGATCCACAGCAGTCAGGTACTCTAAGCACTTGCAGCTACACCAAGCATGATTATATGTATCCTATCCCAGAGCAGAAAGCAAAAAAATGTTGGACTATGCTCTTTGGACAGGAAGAGCCACTGTTGTTTTGGACAGCCACCCACCATCATGTGGTGGTGGGAGGGCTGGACTGAGGATCTGGGCAATCTGGGTTCTAGTCCTCACTCAGTCATGAAACTCACTGGGGGACTTTGGGCTGGTAACTCACTTTCAGCCTAACTCACCTCACAGGGCTGTTACTCTGAGGAAAAATTGAAAGATGGAGGACTATGTAAGCTGCCTTGGGTTCTTTGCAAGAGGAGAAAAGGTGGGATATGAAGACGGTCTAACAATAATAGCCCCACTACTCACCCTGGTGTACATCCATATAGTCTTACAAACGGGATGCTCCATAAAACTTTGAATTATGTTCAGGAAACAAGGCATGTCGGGTTGAAATAAATGGTTACAGTATAAGTGTACTTTTCACCTTTTGCTTAATTTGTGCCTTATAAACTTGGCAGAAATACTGAGAAATATAGTAGAAACCTATGCTTTAAATTACTGCTAGTGAACCCTTTCAACGTGACAATGCTAAGACAACATAATGCTTGTTTTCCATTAAAAAATGGCTTCTAAACATTTCACTCGGTCACTGTAAGGTGTGGAAGGACGGCCTCACTTCGTTCCCTGCACTACTTATAGCTGACAGGCTTGCTCTTTCCCATGCTGCACTGTCATCGATATCGCAATCAGAGAGGGGAATGGCTGCTCATTAGCTCACTCTTATTTTCCCCAGCTTTGGTTCTTTAGTTTGAGCAACTAATTCCACACAGACTGCCTGTAGACTGGAGAATCGGACTGCTACCCCATCCTTGACCACATCTCCTCCCTTGTGTTTGCTTGTGGCATATAAGAGGCTACCTTAGAGTGGGTTGGATCCTTGGTCCATCAAGCCCAGAACTATCGCCACTGACTGGCAGCGGCCTTACCTGGAGAAGCTGGGGACTGAACCTGGGGCCTTCTGCACACAAAGCAGGCGCTCTGCCACAGAGCCACGGCTGCAGACTCCAGCTGCAAGCTGACTTGATGTTTGGCCAAGGCCTCACAGTCACTTTCTCTCTATTCAGAGCCTGTTTGTCTGCAACAAAGTCCTTAGTCATTTGCACTGATTATTCCAAGCACTCACAACAGCAACTCATGGATTCACTTGTTGGTTTTTCACCAATTATTTGAGAATTATGGCCACAGACTATGTATACTATGATTAGGGTTGTGCCCCACACATCTAAGAGCTTTTCAAAGAGAATGAACGATGCTGCAGATAGTTTTCGGTGCAAACATGGATTGCAAGATGTCCATGGAACTCACAATCTCCAAATAAAGAATGCCACATTTGATTGCAGATTACCTGTTTTTTATGCATGCATATTACACTAGCTTTCTACTAGCAACATACATGAAAGGTGCATGGCTATCTTTGCCCATTTGACAGCACATGCCCACCATGAAGCCTATTGTTTTCATCCAAGCAAAATGTGGGCTTCAGTGGTTAATGGCAATTCAGAACAGCAAAACTAAACCAGGCAGTACATTTATTATTTCATTTCTACAATGCCCCATAACCAACACTCTCTTAATATATATTAATCAAATACTGAATTCCTGGAGCTAAGCTGAAAAAAGCCCTCCATACAATGAAAATGAAATGATTTTTGAGGTGAAATTCAAGGCTGAACTGAACATTCTCAGGCAGAAGTTTCGGCTCAAATTTGGGGATGGATGGTAGGGTGAAATCTCTCTCCTTCCCTTGCTGTTTTCAATTGCACAGCAGCAGCAAGTGAAAAGCCCATGGAAACCCTGATGACATACCCTAAACCTCAAGTGGCTGGGAGGGGGCAGAAACAGTAGTTGCCAACTCCAACTATTTTATTCACCCCCTGAAATATTACCAGCCTCCCCCTCATTAATAGAAAATGGGGCAGTAAAATGTGTGCATGTGTCCAGCTTGGACACAGTATAGAGTCCCATATTTCAACTCGAGATGCAACGGTTCTTTATTTAAACTGCTCCTCTATCAGGAATAGTGGAATTAATACAAAGTGAATGCTGTTGTGGCCTTGAAGGAGAATATTAGACAATATTTGGCTTCTCATGCCTCTAGGTTCATGCCACAGAAAGACAACGCTTTTGGATCCCATGTCTTAGACTATATCCAGAGCAATCCTAAGTACGGAATGTAATAGCAATTACATTCTGCTTCTTGAAATTAAAATGAATTTCACCATAGAAACATTTTAGTAAAAAAGGCATTACATACATAGTATCTTCAGTGCAACAACTCACAAAATGTTGGTAGAGGCAAACAGGAGTGACAGATATTTAAATCAAGGGTGCGTGGTTTGTGGTCGCCAGATGTTTTGCCTACAACTTCCATCCTCCTTCACTGCTGATAATACTGCATATAGATAGCCAAAAGTTGTCTATCCCTCTTATAAATTATCCTCTTACTCATGTTTATTTATTTATTGGATTTATAGCCTGCCTTTTTCTGTTAAAGAATGCAAAGCGGCTTACATCATTCTCCTCCTGCTGCTCTCAGTCTTGTCCCCACAACAACCACACTGCGAAGTAGGTTGGGCTGACAGTCTGTGACTGCCCAAAGTCACCCATTGAACTCCATGGCCAAGCAGGGACTAGAACCCAGGCCGCCCGAGTGCCAGTCCTGCACTCTTAAACACTAAACCACACTGGCCCTCAGTGTTTCCATTCCCAGGATGGATTACGGACATCACTCACAAGCTTGGATCAATAGAAGACCTTCTAGCAGTATATGTAAAAGTCTCTTGGAAAAAAACGTGGCAACATTTGTTCCAATACCTTACTAAAAATGTATAAGTATAGTCTGCTCGTACTTCATAACTGAGACAACAGCAAAGGAAATTTCCTTCTGATGATGGGTGTGAGAGAAGTTCTGTTCAAGAAAACATCCAGGGGATGTGAGTCATGTTTCAGAACTGGACAAGGAAAAGGGAATTTACAAAGTGAAGATATATTCTTCCTCTCACTTTCATTAATATAAAAATCGAAACAACAGTAATAGCTTCAAAGTTCAGTACTGAAGATTTACTCTGGTATCAGGAAAGCATCCTCATATGTTTTGCAAATCATTATGTGCAATTCCTCATATGAAAGAAAGGAAAAGTAATAATCTTATTTAGATAGTTTGCTTCCTTTTCAAAATGACTCTTAATTGAACCATTTTATTTATTTATTATTTGGCACTGAACTCAGAAAGTAGTAGAGTCAGAAAAGCTGGGGAGAAATAACAACTTGGGATTACAAATATATATGTAAAAGGGAAACTTGGGGAAAGTGGGAGGGGGAGGAAAGACATGCATTTCATCACTTTGTTACCTGCATTGGTGCTGTTTGCATATGACAGCCCACTGATTAAATAAACTATGGCTGTCGGGGATAAGCAGGAGATGGCACTTCTGCATTTACTCCACAACCCACGAAATGCTCAGTCATGGATTGTGGTGCTAGGGCCAAACCCAGATGGGAACCCAACAACAAAGCACTAGGTTGTCTCCCTAACCAAACCAGCAGTCCAGCTTCAGTTGTCATGCTCCACAATTTACGAACAAGCTGGCTGTGAAGTAAAAGTGTGCATGACAACACAGTTTTACTGTATTTAGTCATGGGTTGTTGTTATGCGCAAACCAGGTCTGTGAGTCAAACTTTTCACTGACCTAACCATCAGAACTCCAAGATTTCCTTCCTGAATAGTTAGTTGCCTGGATGGTTCAGATTTCATCATACTTCCATAGGAAGCTGAGATTTTTCTTGTCCCAGTGTGCATACCTTTTAAACTTCTAATGAACCCCATGCATTCTGTTGTTCATTCACCCAGTTTGGAAAGATCTTGGAGCTCACTGCATCTCACTACAGTTTCAGTTTCACTTTCACTAGGTCTGTGTTGAAAAATGTCAGTGTGGCATTATTGATCTTGACCTTGGTGTTTTGTGCTGTTCAAACGACACCTGAAATGAAGTGTTCTGTTTCAGCGAGTCAAAAAAATCAACATTTTTGGGGACCATATACTATCTTTTTAATGTATCCTCCCTCCCCAAGCTGTTTGCTCAGACCTGGCTCCAAAGAGTATCTACCAGATCTCTTATGAAAGATCACTCCTCTAACATTTTAAGAGATATTTCAGAATGGTAGCAAGATGAGCTCTTTCACTGTTGGCTTAAGGAACAGCTGGCCACTGCAGATAGTTATTTTGCTTTTTCCAAAAGAGGCATAGCAAACAATATTTAAAGGAAAAAAATATAAAGGTAACACCAGTGAAATTGTTTGACATCTTCATCCCCTCCCCCAAAATGATACTCCACCCCATATCTTAGACCCATAGCTTCATTATCCAAAATAATTTTGTATTATCTGTGCTTTGACCACATTACAGCTCTCATCCCGATTTCAGCCCAACCATAATAAAAACAGCCCTAACATTAATCCGAATACAGATTTAGGAGAGGGGGCATCTCACTGCTGACTTCCCTCCACTGTAAGAAATGGCCATGCACTCCTACCTGCCCCCTGCTTCCTCTTGATTAGCACACTACCAGACCATTTTATTCTGTAATGCTAGCGAGGAGTCCTCAGCAAGGAACTTTTGTCAAAATCATTTTGGAAGTCTAAGTAATGTAAAACGCTACTAAATCAGCAGATGAAGGAACAGAGCTCATCTGCTTGCTCCTCAGACCAATAGCATCTCCTGACAGAATTAGGCAGGAGTACAGTTCATTAATTTTAACATATATAGGTAGCGGGAGGAAGGGAACTAGCTCCCTTGCTAATATTTGGTATAGGGAGCTCAACTTCTGTGGAAATAGGCCAGACACATATGAGATGGTTGGTTCAACATTTAAGTAGGTACACTTGAAGAAGGTATCCTTGACTATGATAGCTCAGGATGACTTTCAAAATATTAATGCCAAAGGCTTCTAAGGAACCTTCCAGAACTTGCAAGCAAAAGATTTATGCAGTCCCATACCTTGTCCACCCAAGTGCCACTTGAGCCCAAGCATAGTTGGACTTCCTTTAAAAGCTCCCTGCAAACTCTTCTTTTAGCCCACGTGACAGGATGCAGGATGGCCTGATGAAGGAGCAGGGGAGTTATCAGTTATAATGAGGACTCCCACTTTTCTGGGTCCTGTTGCTGATCTCCAAGCCAGCAGTCCAAATTTTTATTCCAGTGGATTATTCTAGTCCAATATTTTGAAGCATTCTTTCAATAGCAAGTTCTAAGAGTTAATTATTAGTATATATTACAGCTGCCTTTATTTCCTGGTGCTAGTTCCTTGGTAATCTGTTCCTGGGAAACTGTCCCCATATTTGCCACTGGGGAATGTCTGTTAAGACTTCTGTTGGTGTGAGCTGCTCCACAAAGTCTATCAAAGTTAAATCGCCAGGAAGACGAGTTGTTTCACTAACACACATTCGTATTAATAAGTACATATGAACATCAAGGTACCATGCAATGAGCAGCTTGCCTTCTCAAATGCTGACAAGGCTCATTTTGAACTACTAATAGCATATTGCAGGGCAATTATATTTTTTCAAGTATATCTTTAGGCAAAAGAAGAAACATCCTTGGATATTAAATAAGTACATGATAAGCCACTGCAACTTAAATAAACCTGCCAAGTGGAGCACAACCTTTCCACAATGTGTAATGGCTTCTGTGAGGAATCTTTAGGACAGTGTATATAAAGCTAAAGCTTGAGATCAGTTTGGTTAGGGAGCTTCTCTGAGCTTAGTTAGATAAGCTCAGGAATTGCAAAGCTCCTTTGCTCCCAAGGTTTGGAAGCTGCCCTGTGCTGTGCCTTGTGAGCTAGCTCAGACTGCTCATTTCTCTGGTGCCTTAAAAAACCGTCTCTGGGGACTTTTACATAATTCTGTTGGAGCTGTGACGAATTAGTGACCAGGATTTGGATGAGAAGCAGAGAAACATGTTTGCTTTTTGCAGAATTTGCTTAGCAGTTTGATGGAAGGTTCTCCCTCATAAAAAATGGCACATTTCAACACAAAAACAAGAACTTACAAAGGCTTAGCTTTAAATAAAAGAGAAAT